ATGAAGATTGTTCAGATTCCAGATGTCCAAGGGAACCTCACTTGCAAATCATGTGAACAACTACACAAAGTTGTTGTCGGACTTGGTGAATATGGATGAGAAGATATCAAATGAGTACAAGGTGATTATTTGGTTAGGCTCCTTACCTGATGAGGAGTATGATACATTCATGCTCACTTTATTGAATGGTAGATCTCCCATCACCCATAGTGAAGTGACTAATGCATTGACGAATTTCGACTTGAGGAGGAAGGATAAAGAGTCTTACAGAGCTAGCACTTCAGAAGAGGTCTTGTCGACGAGAGGAAAGAGTCCATATCCGAGAGGTGGTAATTGAGGCATGTAGAAGTCTAGAGGTCACTACCAGATTTCAAAGAACCAGTGTGCCTTTTACAGAGAACAAGTACATTGGAAGAGAGATTGCCCGAAGCTCAGAGAAAAGGAGAATAGCAAGAAGAAGGGGCTGAAGGCTAATGAGATGAACGCCACTAAGAGTGGTGATGATTCAGATGATTCATGTTTTTCTTTATTGATTACTCTAGAGGTTAACCATGCGGATGAATCAGATTGGATGTTGGATTCTGATGCTACTTATCATGTGACTTCCCAGATAGATTGGTTTGCATCTTTCAAGAAGCTCAATGAGGGTGTGGTGGTCATGGAAAACGATCAGTCCTGTGGTATTTGTGGGATAGGTACAGTTAGGATTCGGATGCACGATGGAGTTGTTCGAGAGCTGAATGAAGTGAGATTTGTTCCTCAATTGAAGAAGAATCTTATTTCTGTTGGAGCTTTGGAGGCAAATGGATTCAATGTGACTTTGAAAAACGCTGTAGCAAAAGTTATTAAGGGATCTTTGATAGTAATAAAGGGAATCTGCAGTAGGAATCTTTATTATCTAAAGGGAAGCATCAAGATTGGCTAGGTAGTTTCAGCAGTTTCAGAGGCGGATGCGAGTAGGCTATGTCACTACAAATTGGGGCACACAAGAGAAAAGTCATTGTAGGTATAGTGCAAGCAGGGGCTATTGAAGGAAGCCAAGAGTGGGAAGATTGATTTATATGTTCACTGTGTTCTTGGTAAGAAGACTAAAGTGAAGTTCAGGATCACCGTTCATAGGATGACAAACATCTTCGACTACGTGCATATGGATGTTTAGGGGTCTCACCAAGACAACATCACTTGGTGGACGATATTGATTCATCACATTTGTGAATGACTATTCTAGACATTGTATGGTGTACACCATAAAGCATAAGAGTGAAGTCCTAGAGATATTTGTAGAGTAAAAGAGAAGATTGGAGCTGCAGATAAGGAGAAAGATCAAGACGTTGAGATCCAACAACGACGGTGAGTACAATTTAGACCCTTTTCAGCAGCTATGTCGAGACGAAGACATAGAGAGGCACTTCACAGTTAGTTATACACCACAGCAGAATGGGGTGACAGAGAGATTGAATTGGTTATTACTGGAGAAGGTCCGATGTTTGTTATCACAGAGTGATTTGGAGAATATCTTTTGTGTTGAGGTACTTTCATATGCGAGTCACGTCATTAATATGCTACCTTCATCTATGATTGAGGGGAAGACCTCTATGGAGATGTGATCGGGAGATCCAGCACACGATTATGATTAGCTCAAGGTTTTTGGATGCCCTGTATTTTATCATGTGAAGACTGATAAGTTGGAACCGCGAGCTAGAAATGCTATATTTGTAGGATTCAAGCGTGGAGTGAAAGTATACAAGCTTTGGAATCAGTTAAAAAAAAGATTGTGATGAGTAGAGACGTCACATTCGATGAGACTTCGTTCTTGAAGCCTCCCAGCTCTCATCCGATGGAGAGCACCCCGACAGAGGAGATATCGCAGGTGGTGGAGATTGATGCAGCTCTACAGAGTCCAGATGGGATTATATCCATTAGAGTGTCGAATGAGGTGATGTCAGGCGAGCACAACGATGATTTGGAGGATATAGGTACAACAGAGCAGGATCAGGGACCGACGGCTCAGGATCAACATTCTATTATACTTAGGAGGCCGAGGAGAGACATACAGTTGCCAGTGAGGTATATAGATACAGTGGTTACGTATGCACTTCCGGTGGAGAGTATCAATGAAATGGTTCTCACTATATTCAGAGAGGCTGAGTAGAGTTCAGAGACTAATTTGTGGCAGGAAGTTATGCGGAGGAAATGAAGTCTCTTCAGAAGAATGACACATGGGAGCTTGTCGAGCTTCCAAAGGGGCGGAAGGCAATTGGCTGTAAATGAGTGTATACCAAGAAGGAGGGCATTCAGGGCACTCCAGTGAGGTTCAAAGCTAGGTTGGTAGTGAAGGGATATGCATAGAAAGAAGACATTGACTATAATTAGGTCTTTTCTCTGGTGGTGAAGCACTCTTCGATTCGGATCTTACTAGCTTTAGTGGCACAGTATGGTTTGGAATTATATCAGTTGGATGTGAAAACAATATTTCTTTATGGTGATCTTAATGAGGAAATATATATAACTCATCTATTAGGGTTTCGAGCTGCAAAAAAAAAAAAGAGAAATTGGTTTGTAGATTGAAGAAATCGCTATACTAATTGAAGCAATCTTCGAAATAGTGGTATAAGCGATTCGATAGGTTCATGCTTGGTCATTCATACATTAGGAGCTAGTTTGATCCTTATGTGTACTATCACAAGTTGCGTGGAGGTGCGTACATTTATCTATTACTTTATGTCGATGACATGTTGGTTGCTTCTATTTCCAGATCCGCCATAAATGACTTGAAGATACAGCTTTGGAGCAAATTTGAGATGAAGGATTTGGATGAAGCAAAGCATATTTTGGGGATGGAGATCGGTAGAGATAGAGATAATGGCAGAATTTGTTTGACACATGTAGCTTATTTGAAGAATGTTTTACAGTGATTCAATGTGAGCATGGAGACGAAACCAGTCAGTGTACCTTTGGGAGCCCATTTAAAGTTTTTAGCCGATCTCTCACCAAAGATAGTTGAAGATAGAGAGTTGATGTCGAAGACTTCATATGCACCTTGCAATCTACAGTGGCTTTATCGACGACGGAGGTAGAGTATATGGCGATTACGGAGGCTGTTAAGGAGGCAATTTGATTTCGAGGACTTTTGGAAGATCTTGGTGCTTCGCAGCGATCCGTCACCATTTATTGTGATAGCATAAGTACTATTTATTTAGCAAATAATCAAGTTTTCTATGCGAGGACGAAGCATATTGAAATTCGTTATCACTTTGTTTGATATGTTCTTAAAGATGGAGATGTAGAGCTCGTGAAGGTCCACTCAAAAGACAATCTAGCGGATATGCTCACGAAGGTGGTTCCGAGCAACAAGTTCGATCATTGTAGAAGCATGTTATAAATTTGTGCTTGTTGAGGCCTATCGAGACCATTTGGATGAACTACAGGCGACTTGATCCCTTGGGAGAGGGGGTATATAGGCAACCACATTGGTACAGTCGGATTTTGCGAGACGACGCATTGGTACTCATGTTGGTGTCAGCTCAGTTTTGGGAACACTTCGCCGAGGTAGAGAATTATAGAAAATGACGATGAATTGTTCAAATTGATGAAAAACGTGAAAATTCAACACTATAGGAAAAGAAGCGGGCCAGTTGTTTGATCACACATCATCAGTCGACTGATCGCTTGCTGATTATAGGGTCAGAAACTATCATTCTGACAAGTCGGCTGATGATGCTTCATCAGTCGACCGATGCTCACCCACTAGTCGACTGATGAGGCATCATCAGTCGACTGATAACGGATATTGGGTCGATTTGTAGTTTTCTGATTCCCAACCTGTTTTGAATTGTGTTTTGATATAAATTGAAACACGTTTTCTAGGGTTTATAGGAGAGTTGTTAACAGAGATTATTGAATTGTGTTTTGATATAAATTGAAACACGTTTTCTAGGGTTTATAGGAGAGTTGTTAACAGAGATTATTGATTGTTTTGAGCACTTTGAGAGGGAGATTATTGTTAGGGAGTGAGAGATCTTTTGTTAGGGTTATTTTGAGCGTTTGTGAGAGTTGTAACCCGTTATTTTCTCCTCCATATAATGAAAACTCCACATCCTCTCTTCGTGGACGTAGGCAATTTGTCGAACCACGTAAATCTCTGTGTTTGTGTGTGATTTTGGCCGTTCTTTTGTGAATTGCACTCGGTAATTGTTCTCGATGACTCGTTTGGTTTGTGCGCACGCTTCTGCCGACGCCCAACATTATCATCACAGAACTATTTTATGTACATGTTATCTTTATCTGAATCTCTACCTCGGTAGCAATATTAAGTGTTAATAATTGCTATTGAAGGTATGAATGAGGGGCTATCTACAATTTACCATAAAACATGTATATATGTTAGGCGCAGAGTCACGCCCTCACGCCGCAAAAGCGATATAACCCGAGAGAAAACCCTAACTTTTATTTTCAGAAAAGCTCAAGTCAACCTCCATATCCCGTTTCACAAAGGAAATATGAATAGAAAGTGAAATATCTCAACAAAGTGAAATATGCACTCTTCCTCTCATCAGTTCTAGGACTGACTTGTTAAGGGAACCTACAAGCAATAGCCGACACCCAGATAACAGTAAAGACACGTGATTTACATGGTTCGGCAAGCTTGCCTACATCCACGGGAAGGGGGAGGGGAGATTCAACTATGAGGAGAACACCGATGACTTGTACAACTCACAAGCTCGTCTCAAAGAAAAAGATTTGATTTTTACTCAAGAAGAAATTGACCTCTCTCTTATAGAATCTCTCCTCAAGATCTAAGTTTTCCTTCAGATCTAAGTCTCCTAAACTCTCTGTTTTCTCCTCTTCACAGCCGACTAAACCCCTCCTTTTCTCTGCGTTTTGCCCCCTGCACGAAACCCTAGGAGCCGTTCCTATTTATAAGAAAATTTTGCATCCCAAAAAACCGAAGGTGGTTGTCTCACCCACGTGGGTGTGGCCCCCACTCATAATATATCTGATTGGTCATACGAAATTACATAACAATATATTAATGATGATGACGATAACATGTTAATAGTTTTCTCAAACATCAACACAACACTCTTAATCGGAACAATCATCACTCTTCACGAGTCACTTTTTCTAGTGGCAAACCGCTCACAAACAAGCACAGAGCCCGCTAACACGGACGCTAATTACAACAATTATTAACTTAACTAATCTATTTTCAGTAAACCTCAGTAACACTTGAGCCTTTCCTTATTCAGTGATAATAACTAGTTAAGCGCCGACTGATTCCAGAGCCTTCATGGTCTCGAATCTGGGTTCCTTGGCCTGAAACTTTTGAGCAACGTAAAGCTTCATATAATCCTCGAACACGAACTTTGGATACGTCGTCACTTCATTTTCCTTCTCTTCTTCTTCCTTTATCAGCGCCGGCGCCGGATAAATCACGGCGTCGCCGCCCGGATTGTAGAACGACGCGATCGACATCCTGTTCCCGTCGGTCTGGGCGACTACACGGTGCATCACGCTCTTGTACTTGCCATTAGTAATCACCTGATGATCACCAATTTTTTTTTTTTTGAAATGTTATTTTTCGTTAATGATGATTGATCTATAGTTTAATTGAAGCGTGCGTAATTTAGGAAAACCATCATGAATATATTATTAGGTATTCATAACATTGAAACCGTTTAACGTGACAATATAATTTTATAATTTTATATTCTAACGCTATGCTAACTTTGATATTTCGATGTTGCTGTGAAAGTTGAGAATTATAATTCTATATTCTAACACCAACTGCCCAGCCGTAGAAATTGAGTTGATATTGGTTAGTTCCAAAAGGTTTCGTTATTATTTATATTTTATATATATGAAAATATCAAGGTTTTGAGGGGAATTTTGCGTTATTTTGTAACTGAGTAGAATCTGATAAATTTTCTGATATAGAAGTTGGTACTAATTAACCTCAAGTTGATCACCAAGGTTGACAACAATCGAATGCCTCATCGGCGGCACATCGACCCATTCGCCGTCCTTAAGGAGCTGAAGTCCGCTGACTTTATCGTCTTGAAAGAGGAGGATGAGGCCGCCGGCGTCGGTGTGGGCCCTCAGGCCCTTGAAAAGCTCCGGCCGTGGGCACGGAGGGTAGTTGCTGACCTTCGTGCCGAAAGTTGGGCCGTTCGACCCACCAAAGGCCTTTTTCAAGTAGCCTTGTTCTAGGCCCAAGTTTTCGCATAGCAGGTCGAGGAGTCTCTCGGCTAGTTTCTCTAGCTCCAACGCGAATTCCTTCATCACCTCCCTGTAGTTTTCACAAACTATTAGCATCATTTATACGTTGATAGTCACGGTAAATTCATAGTTCTTCGAATTTTGAGCGAAAAAAAGTTCGGCGTGGGACCCCATTTTTCTCTTTCTTGTGAAGTCTGCGTAGACGATATTAATAGAGTATTTCTTGATCCAAAACTTCGCTGGCAACAAACTTCTAGTTACAATAAAAGTGTTGACGCCAGGTCAATTTTTTATTTATTTATGAATTTTTATGAAGTTTAAGAAAAAAAAACAAACAGACTATAAATAATAGATGATTATGATTGAAGAAATGAACTTGAATTACCTGTATTCATCTTCGAGGTCGGGGATTCCAGTGATGTTAGACTGGGGGAGGTGTTTCAAGAAGAAAGTGCTCTCCCAGTCCATATTGCTTATCGTGTCCAATTCCTCCCCTCTCTCAAGTGCCTGCTTCGCGAATTCCTTGAACTTTTGCTCCATACACTTCTTATAGTGTCCCTTGGTCATGCCCTCGACTTTGTCCAGCAACTCAATGGAGATCCCATGATTCAAGAGCTAAATTCACAAAATTATAACGAGAAAAAATGATTTGTTACAAAATAAACCAGCACGCACGGTGCAGAGAATTTGTATAAAGAACATTTAATTGTAGCTGTGATGATGTGTTGTACCTCAAAGAATCCCCAGTTCTCACAAGCATCATGAAGTTTGCTCATGGTTGCTTGTCTCTCCTCTCCGTCGAGCTTGACCATGTTGATGATCGGGAGTGAAGCCATCTCTTCTCTCTCTAAAACTTAAATTTAGCTCTTAGTTTTCTCTCTAGTATAGGTTGCTTAGCTTAGCTTGCTTTTTGAGTGTTTGTTGTGTTTTTGCTTGAGGATGTGGGGGGGTATTTATAGAAAGTGGGAGGAAAGCTACAAATAAAAAAAGGAAGAAGTAAAGTTTGAAAGGGAGTCTTCGTCGACCATTGGAGAACAGCTCTCGTGGATGCCATCACGGCCAAGAGCCCCACAAGCTTAATAGGAAAAAAGAAGATGCAATTTTTATTGATGGTACAATTTTTAGCAAGTGTTTACAAACTTAAAAAGGAAAAATGGGTTTGCGTTAGCATGAGGAAACAAAAAATCCAAATTTGATTCGTGATATAACACTTTGCACTCACAAATCGAAAAAAGACGAAAAAGTGGGTTTGCGATGGCAGGAGGAAACGAAAAAATCCGAATGTGATTTCATAATCATGGCATGACTCTAGGCGTTCACAAACTTAAAAAAGCAAAATGAATTTGAGTTGATATCTTATTGTACTAAATGAAATACTCGACATTTTGAAATAATTATGAATCTTAGCTTACAGCTCTTGGCAACTCATACTCAATACGTCTTCTACAATGCTGAAACTCCAAAGTTTTGTTGAACTTTAAGAATTACAGTTTAGGATTGTAGGCGTCAAAAATTACCTATAGGTCCCCGCACGCGGTTCGAGACAGAGAGAAGACGATGAACGTCGCTATTCGAGTCACAGAAGCTCATGTGACGACGACAAACACACGAAGTGAGTCGACGGACCATACGAAGCAACGGAACTTCGGAATAATGGAAACACGAACCGATCGGGAGCCCCACGTAGTTTACGAAAGGAGAAGCGCCCCTCGTATCCCATTTATTCCACATATGATTCAATCATGGAAGCTTGTATATCTCCTCGTTAGCTTTCCAACGTATCTTGAACCACGCAATTCCGAGTTCGGACGACGAAAATACGGCGGAAACCGACAGAGCGCGCGAAACTACGTTCCAGGCCTCGCCGAGACACCCATGAGTGTCTCCGCCAGGCCGAGACACTCACAAGTGTCTCGGCCACGCTGAGACACCCACGGGTCTCCGCAGCCCAAAAATACTGATTTGGCAGTTTAAAACTATTTTTCGATCGTTAACCGTCTGGATTTATTTCAACTAATAGAATATCATCCAAGAACATGGTTAAGTGGTTACAACTGAAGATAAGATCGAATCGATTGTTCATATCCGAAAACGGGGGTCCCGAAGCCTATAAATACAGCCCCAGAACCTTTATTTTTTCAGATCTAGAATTCTCGAGCGTCCGCGAAGCCCTGCTGAATTGAGGACTGAAGAGCCACAAATTTCAGAGAGGAGGAGGAGACTTCAGCGAATTCTTCAGCATAAAAAAGAAGAGTTCGTCAGATCTGCAGCCCGGTTCTTTACCTTGAGATTGTCCCGTTGCGGTGATCTCGAGAAGAGTGATTATCTCGCTGTTGCTGAGATAATTGCTTCGGTTTCTTGATTCCTTCGCGAATCAACGAAGCTCCGGATCTGATCTGATCATTTGGTGGTCCACGGATACTATCGTCCCCGTCACAAGCCAAGATCCCACGCAAGCAGCAGGCGATAAACACCCGTTGCACTGTTTGACGAGAGTTGTACTTTTTTAATTTTCATTATATAAAGATCTTATAAAAAGACTAACTTTTGTTTTCATTATAATGTTTAAAGTTATAATGAACACAGCAATGAATAAATTAACTTTCTCCCCAAACAAGTTGGTGACCACAGTAGGAGCCAATAGTCTCGTCAACGAGACTGTCGTGCCGCAACCGACGATCAAGATCCTCGTGACTGAAGAGGTCGAATACGAGCTCGACCAACAGAAGTTTGAAGAGTATGTCTCCTCTTCCTCCTCCAGATCCGCCTCTCCTCACAAGCGCAGGAAGGTCTCTTCCACCCGAAAGATCCGCTGGTCTTCAGATCTGAAGACTCAAGAAGGCGAATTCCCCGCTACCGTTGCTGCAGCCGCACCTCACAACGATCCGCCGGCGTTCAATGAGACCAAATCTGTAGATCTGAACTCCTCCGCGATCAAGGAGTTAACTACTGAAGGCGGGCTAACTCTATTAAGGAGAGCACGTCAAAGGCAACGTCAATGCCTCACGCGCCAATTCACCAAGGCTTTGGATCAGGTGGACGGACTCCGTTACCAAGCGGATTTGGAGTTCAGAAAGTGCCAAGTGGCTAAGCCATCTCCACAGCAAGCTTCACGAACCTCCTCCTAACCACCTACTAACGAATGGGTTCGTGTCAAACGGAACTGTTCCACTCTTGAGGAGCGCATTCAGAAACGTTGCGCACTTCTTGCGCATGCCCAGATCCTTGTGTAAAAAGCATAAGAAATGCAAAAGGAATAGACGGTTAAGAGATCACCGAGATCCAAACAAATTTGGATGCCAAAGGCCAAATCAACGCCTAAGGCAAGAGCAAGCAACGTTTCTCCCCAGCCTTCGTCAACTTCGGATCTCGCTCTTTCTGCCATCACACCTTCGGTGAAACCCTACGGCGACGTGGACCTCTCCAAATTTAGAATTCCGTTGAAGCATCGCCTGGGTCCTTTACATGAAGATCAAGGCAAAGCGCCTGTTAAGGAATGCTTGGGACCGTTGAAGGAACCCCGAGCAACCATCCAGACTAGGGGTCGTACGCGACATCCTAGCAAGTTGATTCCCGTAACTACCCACGTGGAGATGCCTGCACAAAACCAGGAGCCCGTTAAAATTTCATCCTCACACGGGTGTGATTCCAAACGTGTGACTCCTGCTAAAGCCAATAAAGCGCTACCTATTCAGAAGAAGACACGCCGAATAGACGACAACGTTCCATCTGAGGAATCAAACCAACAGTCGATAGGTTGTTCTGACCGCAACATCGATGAGTTGTACTATCAGACTGGGGGTACGAATAAATCTTGAAAGAGAAGTGCCCAGGAAACGGACTCTCACTGTCCGTGTACCAAACTTATCAGTGCAGTATTATCAGCGTGTAGCTACCCCAAGACCGCTCTATAGAGGGTCTCGGTATTTGAAAGGATCTCTACCAGAATGTCCAAGTCCAAGCCAAGGCGTTTCTATAGAAAAAGATCAGCTGCACAAGATGATAAACTCCCAAAGGTCACCATCAATATGGTCGATAAGGAGAAGTTAACGCGAAGTTTTAATCCCCGACATTTTTTGGACATATCCTAACATATAACTCGGTTACGCGCGGGAACTACTAGGCGTAGGGACTATTAGAGGATGAATAGCGGATTATTCTCAGAGGATGAAGCATCAGATGCGAACTCTGTCATCGCTTCTGACAATACCGTGTCCAGCATGGGATAATTCCGCGAGGCGTTTATGATCAACACCGAGCAAATGGCCAAAATCATCGAGGATGTCTTGGCTAAGCAAAAAGAGAACTTCAAGTTCGAAATGGAAATGGCTATGCTGCCAATGAGGGAAGAGCATGATCAACATATCCGAGCCTTGTCGAATCAGATAGGTGAATCCAGTCGTCGTAACAATATTAGTCAAGCAACTAGCAATTCAGATGTGGATGAATACATCAATACTGATAACCCTCCCGTTGATCAGAATGATAGGGGTAGCCCTACTGAAGATAACCATGCTGGGGGTGGTCCCACCAAAGATGACAATACCGGGGGTAGTCGTGTTGTTCCTCTTATAAATCATCTAAAGCATGATACAGATGAGGACAAAAAGATGAAAGACCTCGAGAGCAAAATTAACGCTCTAATGTCTGTTCGAGAGGTGAAAAGGACCGGCATTTCGTGTCCTTACTCGAGAGAGTGGGAATCGATCTCGTATCCGGCCAAGTTCAACTTGATCAACTTCACGCCATTCGACGGGAAGGGCTCCTCTACTTAATATCTAATCTACTTCAAGTCCCACTTAGGCATGATCTCCGGCAATAAAGCCTTGATGGTTCGGTCATTCGTCGGCACCCTTCGCGGGCCTACCTTCGATTAGTACCGTCGTTTTAAGCCTGGAAGTATCAACAGCTGGGACGATATGGAGAGCTCATTCCTCAGTAATTTCTTTGACGACAACGTCGAGATATCTATCAGGACACTCTTTAAGGAGAAACAGGAAGACAAAAAGACGATCGACGACTTCATCAAACGTTTCCGGAATAAGGCGATGAACTACCGAGATCCAATCACGGAGGACTTCATCCTCCAAACATGTTATAACAACCTATCTATTGAGATATTAGAAGTTATGGGAATCGCGCCGTTCAACACATGGAAAGAGTTGAAGACGCGCGGAGAGCAGGCCGAACGCTTCCTCAGAAGGAAGAAAGCCGAGAGAAGCCAACCAACGGCTAACTCTCCGAACTCAAGCTTCGTCTCCCATGGTAAAGGGAAGACACCTGTAGCAGTCGTTGACGTTAATCAGACATCACAATAGCAACCCCGAAGACAGCAGAAGACTTCGAGTCCGAGACTCCAAAAAGAGTACTCCTTCAAGGACGAAGATGTTCCAGCCATTTTCGAATCCATCCTTAAGAACAACAAAATCAAGCTACCACCTATCGTAAATTAGGAGCAAGCTGACAATACTATAGATCCAAAGTACTATGTGTACCACAGGAGGATCATTCATCCCACCAAGGCTTGCTTCACTCTCAAGAACACTCTCAAGAATAGTATCTAAACATTGGTTGAAGCCGGCGTCATAACGCTCAATTAAGTCGAATGAAGACTCCGACAAGTATAAGAGTATAAACTGCTTCTGAATCCTCCAACCGGTATAAGAGGTTAAAATGCTCCCTGATACTCTAATAGGTATATGAGTCTAAACTGTTTCCTACCTTCGACGGGAAGTTCCTGGAGAATTTTATACATCATATTCTTAAGGATAACTCGATCACGCAACTAAGTTCAATATTAGACCCAGTCTTGCAAGAAGCTGGGGGTAGATGATCCATGTAATGGGAAGTTCCCGAAAGAATTCTGTATAGTGATAACCCGGTCACTACAAGAAGGTCACGAATAAGAAACTCCCACTCAAACTCCCGCTACGTCTGTGCAC